AATAAGGTCATTAAAAATTGGTTCAAAGGAATTATTTTATATATTGATAGAAAATATAATAAATAAATCCTGATTATATATATATTTTCGTGTTTGACCGGAAAAATAAAGATATTTTAGGCTGGTATCAAGGTCGATTTATTTCGTAATTTTTGAATTCCAACCCCCCTTCGGGTCGGAAAAAATAATCTTTCTTTCGGTTTCATAAGGCATACCTTATATTTTCTTTCGTTTATATACCTGGCATGAGGCGGTGAAATTGGTTATTCTTTCGATTTCATAAGGCATATCTTAAGTTTTCTTTCGCTTATGTACCTGGTATGAGGCGGTAAAATTGGTCATAAAATAAAAAAAAAAAATAAAATTACTAAAAATTGGTTCAAAAAAATCATTATAAATAAAAGGAACCTCAGGATAATCCTGATCGTATATATACCTTGGTATTTGACCGGAAAAATAAAAAAAATAATTAATTTAGGGATAATTTAATAATAAGAAATTAAAATAATACTTATCAAATATTAATATATATATATATATAATTTTCTATTGATAAATTATTAAATTTATAAATTCGATCTTTTTTATTATTTATTTTATTAATTTAATAATAATATAATAATTATTTATTATTTAGAATTTAATTTCTCAATACTATGGATTAATTACATGTTTTTTCCGAATTCCGGAAATAGAAATTTATCCCGGAGAAAGATATTTAATTCTGAATCCTATAAATATATATTAAAAAAACCTCGTGTCCTTTTCAATGATATATATATATATATCTCAAATAATTATTTATCCTGAGGTAGCCCGCAAATAAGCGAGAATCCTGAATAATTGAGAATATATAAATATGAAATTTTATCTTTTTAATTTTTTTAAATATAATCGAATATATTTCAATAATTGATGAAATTTTTAAATCAATAATTTAAAAAAATCATAATTATTTATTTATTTAATTATATATATATTTTTAAATTTAATTTAATATTAATAATTTATATTTGATATTAAAATACTATTATTTTTTAAATATTATTTAAATTATTATTTATATATATTTTATATTCAAAATATATTAAATATTAATAATAATCAATATAATTATATATTATATATTTTAAATCCATATAAAATATATATTGCATATTTATATATTATTAATATATTATTAATATATTATTAATATATTATTAATATATTATTAATATATTATTAATATATTATTAATATATTATTAATATATTATTAATATATTATTAATATATTATTAATATATTATTTATATTATTAATATATTATTAAAAAAAATATTTATATATTATTAATATAATAATTTTATAATATTTATATATTATTTATATATTATTTATATGTTATTTATATGTTATTTATATGTTATTTATATGTTATTTATATGTTATATATATATTATTTATATATTATTTATTCTTATTTATATGATATTTATATATTATTTATATACAATAAATATAATATAAATATATTTCCCATATCATACCATATCCATTCAAAAGAAATAGAAAAAACAATATATTATATATATATAATTTTAAATATATATAATTATAAATATATATATATAATTATAAATATATATATATTTATGAATATTTATAATTATAAATATATATAATTATAAATATATATATATAATTATATATCAATTTATATATATATATATTTTTATTATATTCCTATCCATCAAATAAAATGAGAAAATCCGTCCCGTCCACCCATCCAAATAAATAATATCGACAATTATTTCTACCTTAGATCTAAAAAATTATATCCTTTAAGAAGAAAAAACGAAGAAATAAGGAAAATTAGATAATATTAAATATTATTAAATATTATTAAATATTATTAAATATTATTATATATTATTATATATTATTATATATTATTATATCTTATTATATCTTATTATATATTATCATATATTATTATATATTATTCTGGGACGTGAAAATCAATACATATATGGAACCAAAATGAAAATTACACGGGACGCCGCGCATTCAGGAAATCAAATAAATCAATGTAACCAGGTCTAAAATACCATGGAATATACTATATAGAAGTGTTATCTTTAGATTCCTGGTAATATATTTTTTTATTGCCAAATTTTCCAAATCCCCATCAGGATATAAAAACAATTATATACCACAATTTTAAAAAATATATATCCACGGATATTAAACACTATATAGATACTTATCCATATATATATATTTTTTTTTATATAACTTCCAACCCTTTCATATTTTTTTTTTCTCTGCCCAAAAACCGCGCCTTGCCCAGAAGCAGCAGCACAAACAATAACAACAACAGCAACACCATTGCAAAGCCTTTCCAAAACCGCTCCGGGCTAGGTTTTAATTAGCTGCAAGCTAGGTTTTAATTAGCTGCAATTTTAACGAGGTCCAAACGAGGTTCGAAATTAAATTTTAGGAATTTAATTCCTAAATTTCCTAATAAATTCTTTATATATTTTCGTATTCCTTTCAATTTAGTAAAATTCAAAAATTTTCAGTAGTAAAACAAAAAACCCAAATCAAACACAAAAATAAAAAAAAATAAATAAAAACAATAAAATAAAAATAAAAAATACATAAAAGAAAATAAAAAAAAAAATTAACAATTTTCATTTTCGAAAATATAATAGATAAATAAAAAATAAATAAAAAATATTCATAATAAATTATTAAACAAAAAACACAAACAT